GAGCAGTATACCCCAGGAAAAGATGGAGTGAACATTTCCTACACCCCATTTAAGACCAGAGCCCCATCTTCCTTCACAGTTGTTTTTACCCAGGACTCTTCCTGCCTACACCTCTTTTTGGGCATAATTTCATTCTGTATCTAAATTTTGCTTTTGCTTCTGCTAACAATATGGCTGTGAATTCTTCTTAGATCATAGTCAAGGACCAAGGAACCCCCAAACCTGACAAGTCTTCTATGTTTGAGAACCATTGTCTTAAATAGAGCTTCTCAAATGTTAGTATCTAGAGAAAACACCCAGGAAAGTTTGTTAACTACAGCTCCTCTCAGGGATCATGAGATATGGCAGAGACTTTGAATTTCAAAAAGCTTTCAGGTGATACTGATTCTGCTGGATGGAAGACCATACTTTATTTTTTTTTAAAGATTTATTTATTTTTATATAAGAGCTGGGGTGCAGGCCAGAGGCACGGGAGGGTGAGAAGATTCACCAGAGACAGACCAGGGAGTGGAACAGGCAGATGACCAAAATACACTGTTGAGGGGAGCAGCAGGCAAGAAAGGAGAGGTCTGCCATGGCATGTGGGAATTTCCTTAGCCAGCCGGGAATCGAACACATGCTGCAGAGGCTGCGGACGGCTTCACAGTGCTGTGCTTAACCTGCTGAGCCACTGGGCAGGCCCAGAAGACTGTACTTTAAATAACAAGAAGCTAGAGATCGGGCCTCCCTGGTGGCGCAGCGGTTGAGCGCTGGGTTGCGAAGCTGCCCGCAGCCTCTGCGGCGCCGGTTCCATCCCCGGCTACTCCCCGGCCACCAGAGGAGGGTCCCACATGGCGCGCAGACCTCCCCTGCCGCCCGCTGCTCCCCTCAGCAGTGTACTTCGGTCCTTCTGTCTGCTCTGCTCCCCGCTCTGGCTCTGGTGAATTCTTTCACCCTCCCGTGCTTCTGACTGTACCCAGTGCATGTATAAACAAAACAAACAAACAAATAAATAAATAAATAAAACATGCCTCTATTTAAAAAAAAAAAAAAAAAAAGAAGCTAGAGATCAAAAATGAAAGGTGCATGCAGTAACCAGAAAGTTTCCAGTCCAGGTGGTAGTGTTTATGATGTAAAATTTAGGCTAAGCTGACAGCTGTGTGAATTACATCTAATATAATGGCTCACTGTAGGAGTGAAGTTTGAGCAATTGTGTAGACTAGTATACTAAGTTATAATTAACATAATTTATAAGATTGGGACTGCATGTGAAGATTTGGAGGAACTGAATCTATCCAATATGTCCAGCACATAATTGTTTATATGACAGAAATTTTAAGCAATCATTCTGTTATGATTAAAAAAGTACTTACTGCTAGATGAGTTGCTTCCTAGAAGAGGCATTTCCTGGAGATACTATGAATTCCAGTAAAAGGTCAGGCCATCTGAAGAGTCCTCATAATTTTTTAATGACCTCTTTTTCACCTTAATGATATTTCTAAAATCCATTGTTCTGTTTAAACCCTCCTCTATACTCTAGGAGGTTTTCTAGGGTCTCCCTTGTGGCCTAGGGGTTAAGTTTCAGTGCTATCACCCCTAGGGCCTGGATGTGATCCCCAGCCAGAGAGCCAACTCACATGCATAGCAGACCTCTCCTGTCTGACCCCCTTGCTCCCCTTATTAGAGTATTTTGGTAATCTGCCTTTTCTGGTCCCTGCTGTCTCTAATGAATCCTCTCAACCCCCACATCTCTAGCCTCCACCCCAGCTCTTCTACAAAAAATAAAGTATTTACCATGCTCAAAAGGCCCTTGATGGTCTGGTCTTTACTTACCTCTTTCATCTTGTTTCTTACTAATCATTCTCCAGTCTCCCCCATTCCTTTTCAAGTATACAACATCAAATTACTCTTCATTCCTCAAATGAGCTGGGTTTTCTTTTGCTTGTGGTTGACACTTTGTCCATCTTATTGCCCTGGTCTGGAGCATATTTCCTTTTCTTTTCAATCTTGTTGCCTCTTCACTAATTCTTTGGGTCTCACCTGAGGTGCCACTTCCTCTAGGAAACTTTTGTTGATCCTTAGAAATCTCTCTATAGCAACTGGTTGCTTGCCTGTTCACTTATCTGAATCTTCCACTGAACTTTAACACACAGGTATATTTCACTGTTGCTTTTGTACCCCCAGAGTATACAGCAGTCACTCAATAAACACTAGTGGAATGAAATCATTAAATGAAAATTGTAATAGTATATGATTGCAGAACTATTGTTAACAAAAATAAACTGAAGTCACCTCAATGATTTTTTTTTATTTTAGCTTGGTTTGGATTCCTAAAAACAATAAGCTGTATCAGAAAGAGAATTATTGGCATATGAGTTAAATCTATTGCATTGTATTAAATAGAAATTTAGATTCCATTTTCCCCATGAGAACAACTAGAAAAGCTGGATAAAATGCATAAAACATACGTTTAAAGACATCTGAGATCTTTGAAAACAGTAAAAAATTGAGGGGCCAAGAGCTAGGAGAAGAAGGAAGTTAGGGAAGTTAAGATTGATATTTAGGGCTGTATTTTTGTCACTTCCATAATCAGCAGCAGAGAGGTAAAAAAGCTGTGTGGGAACACAACCAGAATTCAGGGTGTGTTGAAAAGGCAGCATCCTAAAACCTCATGGTTATAACCTAGAACAAAAGTTAAACCATAACAGATAAGCCCACAAAAGAAATGAAGTCTGGTTTTGATCATCTCTACCCTGATATGGTATTGCTAATGTTTGTAGACTGCTGACCTGCCAAGAACCAGAAAAATCTTGTCTGGAGAAGATGCAATGTCTAGTTCCTAATAAAAAAAAATACAGATATTTGGGGAAAGAAAGTGCTCCCTAAACCAAGGAAAATAATAGACTGCATATATATATATATATATATATATATTTCTGCAGTCTATTATTTTATTATTAAGCAAAGCTATTTATGGATCCCCATATATGGGGATCCATAAATAGCTTTGCTTAATTTGTTCAGAAAATTAAATAGTATATACATATTTTATTTTTTCATTTTACGTAAATGAATTGGATTACCTTTTTAAATATAATAGGAAATTAACACAAAGTTCTCTGTTTCCAAGAAAAAATTATACAGTGTATTAAAACTATGAGTGTTACCAGGAGCTCTATCTTTTAGCTGAAATCACAACATCTAAAGAATTTTGTTTCACTCTGAGAAACAGTACTAGACTACTACCCAAGGAAAGCTATTTGAAGACAGCAGATGGTAGACAGAAGTGATCTCAGAAGCAAAATTTATAGTCTAAATGTGGTGCTGGCTGGATTTATTTACATGTACTAGATCTTCTTCATTTTGTCAACCAAATTTTACTTCCTCTGGCCTAAGATCCACCCTGATTCTTGTGTAAATTCTTGAACTTTCCCTGCACTTTTGTTGTTGTTGCTGCTGGTTTTGTCCTTCTAGGTACTGATCAAACTAAAATTCCTTGGCCTTCTTAAAAATATGTATTTCTTTGCCTATAATTTTGACTCTGATTTATACTTGACTCAAAGGTATATTACTCAGTCATTGGTGGGTTATACTATCACTAACACAAGATCAATGATACTTTTATAAATTTGGAAACTAGTCTTATCAGCAATAGTATCATCCTGGAAAATACTGCCATAAAACTTATAATACCTTACCTTTATATGTGTCTAATAGGTCATTAGTCACATATTATACAGTCAAATAATAGGTCATTAGTCACATATACAGTCAAATAATGGCATGTGTTTATAATTAAAAATATGAACATATAAAAATATGTATTATGCTTTCCTTACCCACATCCCCAAATTTCATTTTCTGCAATTTTTTTTCAGTGTATTATTAAAATATTCATTTTAATATAGTTCCACAAATAATTTTGAGGTAAAGTTACAAAACAAAGTTATCAAAAAAAGAAGTTTGTGATAAAGTTAAATTAAGTAAACTATTAATATTTATTTGTACTAGAAACAAACTCCTTTTTCTTTTCTTTAAAGATTTATTTATTTATGCATACATGAGCTGGGGTACAGGCCAAAGATGCAGGGGGTGAGAGGATTCACCAGAGACTGAGTGGGGAAAAGAACAGGCAGACTGACTGAAATACACTGCTGAGGGAGGCAGCAGGTGAGACAGGAGAGGTCTGCTGTGCCCTGTGGGTAGCTCCCTGGCTGGCTGGGGATCGAACTCGTGCTGCAAAGGCTGCAGATAGCTTCACAGTGCTGTGCTTAAGCCCTGTGCCACCAGGGAAGCCCAGAAACTCCTTTTTCTTAACCTGTAGCTTCACAATGGAAATGTGGAGACCACAGTTGATATATTTAGATTACTCCTTGTAAGTGCACACAAAAAGTATTTAGTTTTCTAGGCAAATTTGTTTTTTGGAATATATTGATTAAAGTTAGAAATAAATCCTGACATAGACATGAGACAATGCAGTAGAGGTCAAGAGAAAACTTTCTTTAAAATATCCAGAATTGGGGCCTTCCCAGTGGTGCAAGGGGTTAAGTCTCATCACTATGAAGTGATCTGCAGCCACTGCAGCACGAGTTCGAGTTTGATCCCTCCCCAAGGAGCTAACCCACATGGCACAGCAGATCTCTTCTGTCTTGCCCGCTTCAGTGGATCTGCCTGTTCTGCTCCCGACTCTGTCTCTGGTGTATCCTCTCAGCACCCCGCCCCGCCCCCCCACACCTCTGGCCTACACCTCATCTCTTGTATGCATAAAATAAATAAAATAACTTTAAAAAAATTGTAAAATAAAATATCCAGAATTGTAATTACTATTTTCAGTTACCAGTGGAATATTAGAATCTTCTATAAACTAGGAAAACTAACCTGGCACATTGTAACTCACAACTATTATGAAATAGATCTATGTTTGACAGTTTACATTTGATATAGACTGTATAATCTAAGGCAGATCTAAAGTAATGCTTTAAAATTCCAAACTGAAAACTTGAGGAAGCTATGATGGTTACCTTTTTGTCATATCAGTTCCACATAGCTTGTCTTTTGTGATCTTTGGAACTGTCATAAATGTGGGTGTATCAATAGTTTCTTCAAAATCCAAATGAAAATCAAATGTCAGAGGTATAGCTGAAGTCTTTTTCTTTAATTGACATTGAAGCATGTTCTCCTGTAGCAAGTCAAAGTATAACAGTGTGAAAAAATGAGTCCTTTTCATAAAGGGAAAACCTTGTGTAGAAAGGGCAAAATTAATCTCACTTTATATAAACACAGCTACAAAATTTATATGGCAGGCAATACTGGGAAAATGATACAGATTGAAAATTGGGGGTATTGTGTACCAACATTTTTAATGCCATTGCTGTGCAACTTGAACTGTTCTCTTTTCATTTCAGAATTGATGGTGCTGGAGTAGGCTCCCTGCTTATTCTAAAGTTCAGAATTTTTGAGGAACTTATATTATATAGGTAGCAAAGACAATATTGATACATGCAGTTACTAAAACCATAGCAGACAAATCTCTCCAAGGTCCTTTGCCCCTTTTCCTGTAGCCACACCCTGGTAAATTACACCATGGCAGTTACATGAGCCAAAAGTGGAGGTAAAAAAGGTAATATAAGGAGAACTATGTTAAAATAGTCATAGATAGACTAGAGAAGAAAGGGGATATAGCTAAAGAGAGAGCTAAAGAAAAAAATCTTTCTCTAGAAAATTCTGTCAGAGGAATAAAGAGATGAAAAACATGAAAGCATGTCAAAGGATATGGGAACTTTTCTTCTGCCAATGCAGGATTAAGTACTATGGGAATTGCCCACCTCTGTAAACAGCTAGAAAACCAGACAGAATGTATGAAGTCAACTGTGAGACCATTAGAAAACAGAGCAGGACCGTGATTCCAGAAACAAAAGAAACTTCCTAGAGGCAGTTTTCAAACTGCTGCACACAGAGAATGGGGGAACCAACCAAACCCATCGCTGCATTTAAGAGATAGAAATTGCACTTGCAATGACACAATTGAGAAATGAAAACTTAGATTCATACAAAAACCTGCCCACAGAAGCCTTATTTTATCTTGTTTTTCACTAGCTTTATTTTTGAAAGCAAAATTTATGTATTATATGTAATATAGTGAATATTATATAATACGGTAAATATTCCATTTATAAAACACTCTCAAAATTACAAAATTATAGCGCTAGATAACAGATTAGCTATTGCCAGGATATAGACATGGAATGCGGTGTGGTTAAAAATGCAAAGAAATCACAGGAGGGAGTTTTTTTACATGGTGGAAACACACTGTATATTGATTGTGAGAGTGATTACAGAAATCTATAATTGGGTAAAATTGTACAAAACTACACACACAACTGAATAAAATTTAAAAATGGGAAAAAAACGAATAAAACCTGTAGTTCAGTTAATAGTAATGTACAGTGTCCATGCTGGTTGTGATTCATACTGGTTTTGACATTATACTACCACTATAGAAGATGTCAACATTGGGGGCAACTTGGCAAAAGGTACATGGGTCACTGCTATTTCTCCAACTTACTGTAAGCCTAAAATTATTGAAAAATAAGAGTTTTTTAAAAATAAAAAGGTTGGGCCTTTCTGGTGGTGCAAGGGGTTAAGCACATCACTATGAAGCTATCCACAGCCTCTGCAGCATGATTTCAATCCCTGGCCGGCCAGGGAGCTACCCACATGGTGCAGCAGACCTTTCCTGACTCTCCTGCTGCTCCCCTCAGCAGTGTATTTCAGTCAGTCTGCCTGTTCTGTTCCCCACTCTGTCTCTGGTGAAGCCTCTCATTCCCCACACCTCTGGCCTGTACCCCAGTTATTATATGCATAAATAAATAAATCTTTAAAAAAATAAAATAAAAGGGCTATTTCAAAGTGATCTATATACTGTTACCTCATTTTTGTCAATTAAAAAATAATCTATCTTCATAAACAAATGTGTGCAAATGTGTATATATACACAAATGCATATATGTATATATATATATCTATTATATTTATATATAAAGATGAATGTGTGTATACATATTTGTATTTCTTTTAAGAGTACAAAACACAATAAGGATGCATAAATCCCAACTGCTAAAATTACCTTGCCTCAGAGGAAAGGGTTGGAGAGACCAGGTAATTTTTATTTATGTCATCTTCTTTATGTATAATTTTCTTTATACATACTTGTATGTTGCTTAACTTGTTTCCATAAGTATGTTTTGTTCTTATTATTTAAAAAATAATAAAAGGTTTAAAAGTTGATCATATACACTTTTTAAGAGAATTTCTGGGGAGTCTTTTATCTGTAATGCATGAGCTACATGTGGTAATAAAAAATGTGAAAATTCATAGACATGCTTTGCACAAAGGAAACTCTTAATAAAAGGGAAGAATTATTACTAATTATAACTTTAAATGTATATAAAAGAGAATTCATAACAAATTAAAGATATTTATCTTAATTATATTTTATAGGGTACATTTCATTTCATTAAAAATATTAAAAAGGAATGGATTTGGGGATATTTAAATCTGATATGGTTACTTTAATAAGTTACCCCTGGTTTGCTATTTTAAAATTTGATCACTATAATAGAAGAAATTTATTTCAATTTTCCAGTATTTCCCTATATTCTGAGCGAAAGAAGATAATTATACCAAAAAAATTAAAGATAAATTACTATTCAAATATCAACATTTTCATTTCCACATTCACAAAAAACTTCATTAATTTAAGAGTTTATCTTTGCAGTGTCTTCTTTGATCTCTCAGACTCAATGCTTTTTATTTATGAGTTAAATTTATGATTTTATTTACTTTGTTATATTATTCTGCAAGACTTGGTGTGACTAAATTAATTGCTCATATATGCTAAAAATCTGATTTTTGAAACTAATCTTAATATTTATTTTGAATTTAATTTGTCTTACCTCTTTTAGTTTCATTAATTTCTATGAGCTTACTATTTCTAAATTGGTAAATATACCAAATATTTCTTTCTTTTAATAAACAAACTAAATAAATTTTTACATTTATTAATAACTGTATTAGTAATTTTTAACTATTTTAAAATAGTTTTTAATAATGTACTGATAAAAACTGTCATAGTAGTCACATTTACTATTTGACTGTTTAAGATTTTTTAAAGTTTAAACTGGTTAGATACATCATAACCTAGTAAGACAGCTATTAGAAACTACCTTGTCTATTTAGTTCTTAACAGACATTTAAGACATTTAATAGACATTTACATAATTGTTTCAAATAATACAGTTATTTGTTTTTTACAAATTAGTTTATGTCTTTACATTAATGTATCATTAATTAAAAGGTAAAAATTATTTTATTCACATTAAAATGATAAAATTTTTACTTTTACTGACTAAATTGACTTTTTTTAATTTTTATTATTTTTTATTTTATACATTTTTATGTCATTTTTCATTTTTTTGCACATGCATGCATTTTCATCTTGGTTATAGTCCCCATACAATTCCCACCACCCTTGTTTTGATCTGCTCCCTCCTCCCCCCCCCCCCGACTCCGTAGTGTATCTGTGGTTTATAGTTGCTTGTTGACTTTGCTTTTTTATTAAATTGAATTTTAACTTATATTTTGCAAACCTTTATTCTTCTGGCCGAGAGCAACATTGCTTGCTTATCCAGAACATCTAATTTCGCTAAGATTTGTTCTGCCATTGTCAGTCAATAAATTCCTATTGAAAAAGGAGAAAAAATAGGTAAAATTTTTAATTAAAATTAATTAAAGTTGAAATTTAAATATATGATAATTTAGACATAAATTAAGAGAATCATCTTTACATTATTGTCTTAGATAGAACTACATAGGTCAAAAATTAAATCATAGAATTATAGAGGCCCAAGATTTTTAGATAGAAGTTACATGATCAGAACTCCCAGCGGTATGTGGGCACCAGAATTTTTATTTTATTTTGTTTTATTTTATATTATGTTTGTTGAGATAGAGTTGGTTTACATTGCATCTTTGGGGGTCATAAGTTCAAATCTCCACAAATATCTATCTTTACACCTTGTCCAACAATGGTGCCCCAATATTCTCCACTATGCTCTAACTTGAGTTTTTTTTTTTTTTAAGAGGCATGTATTATTTATTTATTTGTTTATTTATTTGTTTAATTATTTATTTGTTTGTTTATACATGCACTGGGTACAGTCAGAAGCGCGGGAGGGTGAGAGAATTCACCAGAGTCAGAGCAGGGAGCAGAGCAGGCAGAGGGACCGAAGTACACTGCTGAGGGGAGCAGCGGGCGGCAGGGGAGGTCTGCGCGCCATGTGGGACCCTCCTCTGGTGGCCCGGGAGCAGCCGGGGATCGAACCGGCGCCGCAGAGGCCGCGGGCAGCTTCGCAACCCAGCGCTCAACAGCTGCGCCACCAGGGAGGCCCTAACTGGAGTTTTTTAAAGTACAATAAAGGGGCCTCCCTGGTGGCGCAAGGGCTAAAGACACAGCACTATGAAGCTGTCTGCAGCCATTACAGTACGAGTTTGATCCCTGCCCAGGGAGCTAACCCACAGGGCACAGACCTCTCCTGTCTTACCTGCTACTCCCCTCAGCAGTGTATTTCAGTTAATCCTCCTATTCCGTTCCCCACTCTGTCTCTGGTGAATCCTCTCACCATTCCCCCCACCAACCCACACCTCTGGCCTGTACTCTGGTTCTTGTATGCATAAATAAAGTATAATAAAGGTAATTTGGAAAGTTCAAGATCAGCACATAAGAACCAGATATGACTCATATTTGAAGCAAGGGCATGTGGTTTGATTTATATCTATTTTTTATTATAATAAAATTTTAATGAAAGTAGAAGAAATCCAATTTATACAAGTAATTGCATTCATATTATAATTGGTCAATGATCCAAGACCATTAATATAGCACTTAGAAGGTAATTAGTCACACAGAAGACAGTCAAGCTGGCTAGATCCTAACACCATATTTCATATTTATCTGGGGTCAGACATGGTCTAATTTATTTCCATTTTCAGATAAAAACATAAAAGCCTCAAAGAACCTTTTCAATGCAATACAAAGAGCTATGGACATAGTAGCAGTAAGAATATTAACCCAAAGTCCATCTACTTTCATTTTCTGAGGTCAAGAGGAAATGGGGGAAGAAGAAAGGATGAAAGGGATATAAGAGATGGTGGTATAGGAAAAAATTGGTTAGAAACCATACTGTTAAACGCACACACATACACACACACACAAACATACACTGCAAGTTTTACACTAAGACATAAAACAAACAGGGTTATAGATGACCAAAAGGAAATTAGCATTCACTGAGAAGCAACTAAGTGCTCATATAGTGGATATTCTTATCTACTATGTAGACATAGACTATTGATAAGGTAGCTATGTAAAAAACAAGTCCCTCTATTTTATTTTTAAAATTTGAATGGATTATTACACATTCAATACATTGTTGCTCAGTGAGTTAAATGGACTCCAGTGACATTTAAGTGTAAAAGTTATATGGTTCACAAAGAACACTGCATTCATCAACTTTTCTAATGAACATCAATGTCAGCACTGTGGTTCTTTCTAGCTCAGCAAATGTTATTTCTTTTATATTGTGTGTTAATAAAGCAATATCACACAGAGAAAATTATGCATGAAAAAACAAAGTTTAAGGATCCAATGCCAAAAGCTCACATTATTTTGCACTTTTTTTCTTTCAGTTCTGTTTTCTAACTCTTTTGTATTCATCATCTATTGCCCCTGTTGTGATTTCCTGGTGCTCTGTTGCTCCCAGCATGCCTGTTGCTTTTCAGCTGAATCAAGATACTGGGCCTCCACCCCATGATATAGTCCAATGTGAAAGGACTTTTCTAGACCATGGAACTGATAACATGTCTTGTTACAAACCATATAACCATAGGTTGTAGGTTGGAAAGGGGAATTAGCACAATGAGAATGCCTCAGACTTCCTGGATCTCCTACAGGAGAGTAGGGCAGAGATTTAGCATTAGAATATAAATTATCTAGACACTATATATTGTCTTCTCAGGTCCAGGAAGAAGCCCTCTTATATACCCTAAAAACAACCAAATAAATTTATTTTCTTATTTTTTTTTTAACCAGAAGATCAAGGAGTGTGGAGATCATTGTCCACACTCACCAATTTCTTTTCTTGGACCCCAAAATTTCTACTTCTCAATAAAAGATAGAAAAGCAATAAACTGGAAGAATTAGCAACTGAAATGAAAGTGTTTTTCAGTTTAGGAAAGGTGTACATTACATGAGGGACAATTGAAACCTGCCACTTGTGTGAGGAAAAAAATAGGTCATTTTAAAGAGTAAGATGTCTGACATCCCTATTTTTAGACTTTCACCTTCAACACCATGTCAGATATTTTAAGATACACAATATCATTTCATTTCACACACACACACACACGCACACTCACGACTGTAAGTGAAAGACATATTTTTGATGCGAAATGATTTTGCTATTAGTAATTTATTTATGATATTCTGGCAAATCAATTATTTTGAAGTGTTAGTGACAATTTTATGAATATTAAATTTGATAGCTAAATGAAACTGACAAAATTTTATTGGCTTTAGTTGCTGTTTTATTTTTATATTTTAGAGCCAATCCTTGCTTTCAGATTGCAACTGGTTTTTTTGTTTGTGTGTTTGTTTTTGCAACTGTTTTTCCAGGTCTGTGGTATTATGACAATGGTTCCTAATGGACAAAAGGCCCTAGAAAAAAGTGAAGATAAGAGGAGTACATCAAAGACCAACTTGCTTGCTTTCATCATTACACCAAGGATACCAAGGACATAGCTTGTCTTTCTTTAGATAAGTACTGGAAACAAAGAAACATGAGGTCTAACACAATGATGTATGCCAAGTGCTTTGCATGAAGTAAAGACTAGTTTTTTTTACATAAGATGCATCAAGACAGTATTAAATGTTCCTTGATGTGATGTGTGTGAGCAATTTCATGAGTCAATCATTTAAACTTTAATGTCTACTTTAAACCAGCATATTGGTTTCATATTTTTAAATAATAGTTCTATTTTTATAGGAATATATTCTATTTCATTATTCTCTTTGTAAACATATTATCATTTGGTGATAAATATTTTAATTGACCACTGGCTCTCTAAATGTATTAAAAGAATGGCATTGTGGGGCCTCCCTGGTGGTGCAGGCGGTTGAGCGCAACGCTGTGAAGCTGTCCACAGCCTCTGCAGTGCAGGTTCAATTCCCAGCCATCTGGGGAGGTACCCACATGGCACAGCAGACCTCTCCTGTCTCGCCTGCTACTCCCCTCAGCAGTGTATTTCGTCAATCTGCCTGTTCTACTCTCTGCTCTGTCTCTGGTGAATCCTCTCACCCTCCCACACATCTGGCCTGAACCTTGGTTCTTGTATAAATAAAATAAATCTTTAAAAAAAAAAAAAAAAAGAATGGCATTGTGCTAAGTATTCCATCAAACTTACTGAGGAAGTAGGCACCTAACAGACATTTTCTTTTGTGACCCCCATTTTCCTAGGCAAGGTTACTTCTCCTATTTCACTAAAAAAAAAAGTAGAGACTACGAAGAGTTTCTTTAATTTCTACCTCATACCAAGGTCATATCTACATCATTGACATCTTGCCTGTATTTTAATAAAAGTATTGCCTCTCCCACCCTTTCTCTCCTCAAAAATCTCTTCCAACTTTTATTGCCACATCTGTTATTTGTTTGGCTTCCAGTTCATAAACCTAGGAGTTGTAATGGTTTTCAATCCTAGTTACACTACAGAATGAACTCAGTATCTTCCAAGGAATACAGATTCCCAGTTGCCACCTCAGACCTGCTAAGTGAGGATTTATAGAAGAGAATACAGCAATCTATTTTTGAAAGTCATTGTGATGGAGCATTTCCTCAAATCAAGAGTTGGTTATCCTTCTTCTGGAAAATTTTTTTTCACCTCCTCCCTTTCTTTTATATGTGCTACATCTTACATATATTTTTAGATTTTCTCCTTTAATCCATTCACATAGAACCCTCAGTTTAGGGTTCTATGATTTGTTGCCTGGATTATTGCAGTAGTTTCAAAATATGTCCATATATTTGATTTGTTCTCTCTAGTCTGAATTTGAAAAAAAAAATTTTTTTAAATATAGTGATATGTTTTAGTGATATGTTATCAAAATATAGCTTTGATAATCAAAGCTTCAATGTCTTCCTTCAGTTTTCAGGACAAAGATCAAGTCCTTGATTTATCATTCAAGGTTCATAATTTGGTCTCTGGTTAAGTCTTTTAATCTCACTTGCCTCTTTCCTCATGTTTACTTGATGTTTCAAGTCCTAATAAAGAACTTACAGTTCCTCAAATGTGCTATTTTCCTTTGCATGTTGCTTTTCCTTGGCTATTTCTTCTGCCTACAATGGTATTCTTTCATTTCATATATTTCTGAGTCTTACTCATCCTTCAAGACCTTACAAAAATAACACCTCTGCTAAGCTTTCCCTGACATGATATGATTTAGATACCCAATATCTTCGCTCACATGATAGCATATGTATACTATTATTCTTGTATTTATCACATTCTATTAAAGCATTTTATTACTTGTATACCTCCTCCATGCTATGTATTTCTTGAAAGTCTGGGCTATGTCAGTTCATCTTTGCATTTCTAATACCTAATAACCTGGATGAATTAGTTAACTGTCAGTCATAGAGAAAGTGGATGACTGTAAATATTATGATGGCTTTAGTCTGCAATTACAAATATGCACAAATCTTTCCAACAATCCTGTCTTACATCTTCTAGCTCAACTCATTGCACTAAAAAAAATACTGCTTTCTTTCCTACCTTCAAAGTTAAGACAGCATAGTGTACTTGTTAAGTACATGAACTGTAAAGTCAGACTGTCTAGGTTTGAATTCTTGACGCCACTACTCACCAACTGAGTGAGTGTGATAATTCTGTGTTGCCTCATCTGTAAAATGAGAATAATAAAAGCACTTCACAGATTTGTTACAAGGCTTAATAGAATGAATGTAAATGACATATAAGTATTTGGTAAATACAATAAGTAAATGTAGGTAATGATACACTTACCAACTAGGGATAAGATGTCTGGAGTGAACTGTAAATAATGCAAAATTCATGTTCTCCCTCTGCATGTCATTTCATTTTTTTCCTGCTATACCTACCACCATGCAAATCACCGAAAGTCTACATATGTCTTACTGCCTACTTGCTTCCCTCACAATATATTCTTCATTTATCCCTATACTAAATCCTTAGAACACAGGAAACAATGAGAATTTATTCAGTAATTCAGTTTCTTCTATTTTAGTATCATCTATCTTCTATTTTAATTATCAATTCAGTATCTTCCAGACCACAATATATTATCTTATGTCCATTCCATCTCTCATTTTATCAAAGTTTGACTTTTCAATTTTTCATTGAATTCTGAATTCAGTAAACAGAAACTAAAACTATTAGGTCAACTGTTCATGAAAATAGACCTCACTATTTCCCTATGACTGATATATTAACTTAAGGTGAAAGAGATTATTTCATTTCTTAAATATTTACAGATATGTCTTATATGTACTTACAGCTGGGGGGAAAATTCTCTTCTGGAATGTAGAGTTCTTGAATAGTCACAGAAGCTGAGCTCGTAGAACCTTCGGGATAGAATGGGTCAATAGTCTCTCATGCAATTCCATGAAGGTGAGGCAACATTAATTCCAGCTGAACAAGACTTTTCTGAGGCTTTTACTTCCATTGCCATTGTCTTCTTTCGGACCTTTTGGTTTTCACTTTTCCTCCATTGGGTTACTGTACTACATTTTTTTCTTATTTACCTACCCCATGCCTTCCCTTTTCATCACTTATATATTGAGTTTTCAAAGTGCCATCAAAGCTGTCTTCCTTCAACAGGACACTGAATAGATCCAGCGCTAGCTCACAAACCCAACTTGCCCCCATTACATTGCAGAATAACAAGGAAATTCTTCAGGTGACATAAATATCATGCAAGAATTGATGGTTCAGGATCTGTTTCAGTCCACCTTTTCAGTTAATCTTCTACTATATCCCGTCTTCTTCTGCCATATTTTATCAAGGGGATACTACTACTATTCCCTGAATGCATCCTGCTGTTTCCCCAAACATGTCCTTCACTCATACTTTTCCTTCCACTTGGAATGTTCTCTCCTCATGTCTCCGCCCCCTCCCCCATCAAGAGTCTTCTCTTTATCAAATGAAACCTTCCTTCACATCTTCTTATTCTTTGTGTCAGTAACAGTCTCTTTTTCTTCTCCCTATGTACTTTGTCCAAAACTTGGCGCCTTGTGCGAGAGAGATACAATCTTTGACATAGCTCATCCTCACAGTGTTGACAGCTCAACACTGACTATACACTCTAACTCTCAGTCCCATGCAAAGGATTATAACTTAATTTGGAGATAAAAATTATAACTTAATTTGGAGATGTCTCTGATTATAACATTTGGCGGAGGGTAATCCCAATTTATCTATAATGGATGACATCAATTCATAATGATTTACTAAGGAATGAAATATAATATTGAGTGATTATAAAATATGATTCTTGCCAAATCTAAACTCAATAAAATTATTTTGAAGGGAAACTGGGCTTATGTTCTTAAGTATTGGCTCAAGAATGACAGTTTTTGTAAAAGAACACCATGAAGTAAAGAACTTAGCAACTAGGGCAGAGTAAAATTTCTAGTCATTTTCCCTGTGAGTCATTCACAGGCCTCACTACAAAAATTTAATCACATTAAAGAACAATTTCAAGGTTGCAGGGCAACATTTTAAGAGCCTGAGTCATCACCAAACATAACGACATGCAACTAAAAAATTACTTTTAAGAGTACTACTTCATCTTAACAGTTAGCACCTTGGGGACTAAAAAAAAAAAATCCATAAAACAATAAAAAGCCCAATGCTACCAGTAGGCTCTGCTAAGAAGGCTTCTTCAGCAAATTTCAAAGATCTTCTATTAAAGAAAGAACTCAGGAAAACTAAAAGAACTCAGGATCTAAACTTACAAACTAAACACAGAAGTGAGTAATTGCCTAGAAAATGAAGGTTTAAATTAAGATTTACTTCCATTAGTTCACCTTATCAGCTCAAAATCTCTTGCCAATAGTCTTTTTCCTTGAAGGCAAGACCTCTGTCATATGCCTTTACCTGAAACAGCCTACTAAATTCTACATTAATACTATAGTAAACACTCATGGATAAATGATTACTTTTTATTCAATAATGAGATAACTGGCTGAACTTTTCCATCTTATATTCCAAGTAAAGACACAAAGGAATCCTTTTTTAAAGGTTTAAAATGTTGCTAAATTGCCCATGTTTTATGCTGAATTATGTCCCCCCTCCTCAATTCTAACCCCTCATACCTCAGAATATGAATGTATAGGGAGAGAGGACCTTTCTTTTAAAGAGGTAATAAAGTTAATATGGGGTCATTAGAGTGGGCTTTAATCCAATGACAGGCATCATTTAAGAAGAGGTTAGGACACAGAGGAAAGACCATGTGAGGACACAAATAGAAGGTGGCTATCTGCAAAGCACACACAGAGGTCTCAGAAGACAACAACCCTTTAGATACTTTAATCTTAAAATTCTAATCTCTAGAATTGGGAGAAGCAAATTTCTGTTGTTAAAGGTAACCAATCTGGGGTATTTTGTTATGGCAGCCCTAGTAAACTAATACAGCCCCAAAATAATGAGAACTAATTTTAAAACTCACTGTTAGAAAATGTAATTATTGAGTCTGGCCATGGGTTTATATCTATACCATAAACTTTCTTGTCCAATTTTTGTTATGCAAAGAAGGGAAAATTTGCTCTTCAATATTGAAACTGTACTAAAATTAATAAGTTACCAACTAGAGGCTCGATGGGAGCTTCTAAGGAAAAATATCAAGGATGTATTAGAAGTGATGCATAGCCTCTGAAAGTATTACTAAGCAGCCAATCAAGAATCCATTAGCAAACTTAAAATCTCACCACAATTACTGCAAGAGTGATCAGCACCCACCAGCTCATGGTAGGTTCAATCTGTCTGAACAGATTAAAATGTACCAATTTTACAGCCTTTGGCCAGCACCCACTTAGCGCCCGACCTTGAGTAGACCCATGCTCCACCCTGGCGACTCTACCCTGGATGGCTGGGCACTAGTGCAGGGACATGGGAAAATGGGGAGTTCAACTCAAACACTCTATGCCTAAGGTCCTTTGATGGGAAGTTAAAAATGGTAAAATTAAAGAAACTCGTTAATATTAAAAAGCAAAGGGTTTCATTTTTATTTTTATTTTATTTTATATATTTTTCACATCATTTTTCATTTTTGCACAATGTATGCATTTTCATCTTGGTTATAGTCCCCATACAATTCCTACCCCCCTTATTTTGACCGTAATCCCTCCTACCCTCCCCTACCCCGTAGTTTGGTTTATAGTTGCTTGTTGATTTTGATTTTTACTTTATTACAATTAGTCCTTTTCCTGGTCCTTTATTTAGGTTTTCTAAATTCTTGCTATAAGTGAGACCATCCGGTATTTTTCTTTTTCTTTCTGGCTTATTTTGCTGAGCATGATCCCTTCCAGCTCCATCCATGTTGTTGCAAATTGCATAGTTTATCTTTTCTGATTGCTGAGTAATATTCCAATGTGTATATGTACCACATCTTCTTGATCCAGTCATCTATTTTTGGGCATTTGGGTTGTTTCCAAAGCTTAGCTATTGTAAATAGTGCTGCTATAAACATAGGGGTGCAGGTGCCCTTTTGAATTAATAATTCTGTGTCCTCTGGGTAAATACCTAGGAGTGGAATTGCTGGATCATATGGAAGCTCCGTCTTTAGCAGGTTGAGGAGTCTCCACACAGCTTTCCACAGTGGTTGGACCACTTTGCACTCCCACCAGCAGTGCAGGAGAGTTTCTTTTTCTCAACATCCTCGCCAACATTTGTTGTTGCTAGTTTTTTTAATATGTGCCATTCTCACTGGTGTAAGATCTCATTGTAGTTTTGATTTGCATTTCCCTGATTACAAGCGATGTTGAACATTTTTTCATATGCCTGTTGGCCATTCACATTTCCTCTTTGAAGAAGTTTCTTTTCAGCTCTTCTTCTGCCCATCTTTTGACTGGATTATTTACTTTGTTTTTCTTGAGACTCTTCAGCTCTTTGTAGATTTTTGTGATCAGTCCTTTACCATTAGTGTTGTGTGCAAAAATTTTCTCCCAATTGATGGGGTGTTGCTTTGTTTTGGTTACTGTCTCTTCTGCTGTACAGAAACTCTTTAATTTGATGTAGTCCCACCTGTTTATCTTTGCCTTAAGTATTACTGCTTTGGCTGATGAGTTTTGGTTTTTTTTAAGATTTATTTATTTATTTATTTATTTATTTATTTATTTATTTATTTAAGCACTGGGTACAGTCAGAAGTGTGGGAGGGTGAGCGAATTCACCAGAGTCAGAGCAGGGAGCAGAGCAGGCAGAAGGACCGACATACACTGCTAAGGGGAGCAGCGGGCGGCAGGAGAGGTCTGCGCGCCATGTGGGACCCTCCTCCGGTGGCCGGGGAGCAGCCAGGGATCAAACGGGTGCTGCAGAGGCTGTGGGCAGCTTCGCAACCCAGCACTCAACCGCTGTGCCACTGGGGAGGCCCTGGGTGATGAGTTTTTAAAGATGTTACTGAGCTGTATGTCATGTAGTGTTTTGCCTCTATTTCCTTCTGTATATTTTATGGTTTCAGGTCTTAGGTTTAATTCTTTAATCCATTTTGAGTTGGTTTTTGTGCATGGTGGGGGTAGTAGTCAAGCTTCATTCTTTTGCATGGAGCGACCAAGTTTTCCCAGCACCATTTATTGAACAAACTTTCTAAAGAAGCAAAGGGTTTTTTCCCAAAGAAAGTGGAAGAGGTAAAGAAGTGAAGCCAGGAAAGAAGTTAATGCACTAATAAGCAAGTGACCACTGCATGCACAGGGGCTTAGTTCCCCTGGGTAGCTCTAAAAGTTGATGGATTTGATATAGAACATGTTACAGAACTGCCCCGTCCATGAGATTATTGATTTTTCTGAGTCATTATATTCCCAGAAATTCCACCCTGCCCTATAAATAGGCTGAGCACACTCCTGATCACAGATGTTTGCAAGACCAGGCTACAGGCAGAAAGATAAGAAGATACCATTGATTTATAAAGGGATTTTTCAAGAAACTGCAGATGAGCTCAAGAGTAAACATCAGAGATGGTCACGTGAAACAATAAATAATCTCTTGCGCCTGTTAACATCAGTGACAATTCACAGCTTAGAATTAAGTAGCTTCAAAAGAATAAAATGCAGAGGAAAATAGGATGATCTCTTACTTTTATAACCCTCTTACCACTTGGTGGCAGTATCCAAAAGTCTTAGGTGGCTGAGACTAAAAGTAATAGCAATAATGATGATAATGACTTGAAATGATACCACATATTTCATGATGACTGCAAACACCCGAAATATGTCCTTTTGCAGTTGGAAATTAAACTACTGTTACTGTATTATAGGTTTCCAGAAAGATTATTTCTATAATGCTTCCTTTCTCTTCAACTCTTGCCCAATCTTTACATCTGTAATGGGTTCATGAATTACAGTGCAGTGAAATTACTGAATTAATACTTCACTACATTCTCAGTTTGTATAAATTTCCCCCATGATCTGAAAGTGGAATTTCTTTGATCGGTATTGTAACAGGGTGGTCCCCAGTGAAAGGAGAGGTTCCAGTTTCCCTGCCCTACACAAGGAAGGGTGGATCTGAGCAGGGAAGAGAAGCTGGAGAGGAGACTCAGAGAGGAAGGTACGGAGATTAAGAAGGAGAACTGGAGGAGGCACATGGAGTGGAGAGACAGATGAAGAAGCTATGCTTGCTTCTTGACTTTGGACTAGTACCAGGGACTTGGGGGACATGAAAGGAGACACTTGAAACAGATGTCGGGGTGAGGGCCGTGGGGGAGGTTAACAATGGCAGCTTTTATATTGATTTTGATTTTTCTCCTTTCATCCCACACTTGCCTGGCCCATTCTGCCCCTTCTGGTCCCCTCCAGAAGGGGGCCAGAGACTTGTGGCAAGTTTTGGGGCCTCAGCTGCCCTGCTTTGGGCTAAATCTATTTGGTTGG